GGAGCTGTTGCAGACCCCTCCTGAAGCAGGCAGCCCTGGACACACGCTGCTGGCACCACATCTTGTGCTGCCCTCGCAGCCTTCACTGCGCATGGGGCGCAGGTTCTCACACGGGCTCACCCGTGATGGGCACGGCTGGACGACATGGCTGGGCAGCGCTGAATCCCAGCCCCATGGACACATCCCAACTGCAGCACATGAGCACTGCTCAGGTCGCTCACTGACTGCTTGTGCGACAGGGAGGGAGCACAGGAGATGGCCCTGGCACATCTGGAGATGGCCAGCGCAGCATTCAAACATTTTATTGATTATTTAAGCACCAAAGTGTGTCTCTGTCGTCTCAGGGGGTCACGTAACGATTGCCCAATGTCCCCCGTGAAGCTGCAGCCCCTTCAGGGCTCGTCCCCATCCCCTGCTCACAGCAGTTCTGGAATTCTGGGGTGATGTCACAGCCCGCGTTACAGCGGCAACTGCCCGTGTCCAGACAACAGCACAAACCTTCACCCCTGACCCCACACTTCTCCCCTGCGCCCACCTGCACGCTCCATCCCTTCTGCCCTGTTCCTGCTCTGCCCTTCTGCCCTACTCCCGGCCCTTTTCATTTGTTCCCATCCCTACTGCCCTGTTCCCTGCCCCTCGGGCACTGTATCTGAGCCAGCAAATGCAGACCCAAGTGGGGCTGGGTGAGGAGGCAATGGATGTGGACATGAAGGGGAGGAACCAATGGATGTGGACATGAAGGTGGAGGAGGACAAACTGATGGAGGTGGATGTGGAGGGGATGGATACCAGCTGATGAGTGGCAAGGCAGCGCGTGCCCCCCATCCACTGCTGGCAGTCAGGGTGGGCTGGCTGCTGCCGCGCTGGGGCTGGGGCTGTGTGTGACGTCCCCGCCGCAGGGACACGGTGCCCGGTGGCCTCATCCTGGCGGCACAAGCGCCACCGCCGCGCTGCCCTGCGCTGCCTTTGGGACACTCGAGCTGAGTGTGATCGCGTAGAGGCCGGCTCCCAGCCCCAGCCAGGGCTGAGCCCCGCGGCAGAGTCCCGCTCTCCCCAGCGCGTGGCAAACACAATGACCATCAGTAGCCTCACTGAAATGACCTTGTGCTGCTTGTTTCCAGGGCTGGCTGACAGGGGAGTTTTCATGCTGTTTGAAGTTTTCCTTCAAAGAGTTCCCGTTTTCCTTGAAGATTGCTGTTTTTTAAGAAGATTGTTCGTTTTTCATTAGGAGTTGTAGGTTTAGGTAGAATAGGTGTAGTTTTAGGAGTAAGAGTTGTTCTTTTAGGTAGAATAGTTGTAGTTTTAGGTAGAAGAGTTGTGTCAGACATTCATAACATACCTGGGAGATAACTGGATTGCTGGTTATTTTAAGTGTGACTATGAAGCATGAAGTGAATAATTTCTGCCAATGAACTACAGCTGGCCAAACTAGGTTTTGCAGACAATATATCTGCTTTGTTTATTCATCAATTTTATATTATTTCTAAAGAATCCATTTTTTTAAGTAATTGTTTTGAATAACTCACTTATAAAACCCTATTCCTACCTAAGAAATGTTTCCGTGTTCAGCACTGAATTCTACTTAAGGAGGATAGTTACACAAAACAGGCAAAACCAGGTACAAATGAACTCAGGCTCTCTATGCATGACAAAGTTTCTTCTGCAGTTGGTGGCCCTGTAGCTGATCTTGTTTATTCTCTGATATCGTGTACAACCCCATGCTGAATTTCTGTTGGCTAGTGAGTAATGAAACCTAACTCAGAATGAGGCTTTCAAAAACATCCACAGTCTAAAGGCTTTTCTTTGTGAGCATGCTGTCATCCTAGAGGTCACACTGGGAAATAATCTTTTAGGAAACATCCTTTATATAATGAAATTATGCCAAAGTTGTCTCACAGGCCAGAATACCTGTCTTGTTTTCAAATCAGCACAAGCCAAAGGTAGCAAATAAGGGTAGGGGGGATTGCATTAGAGAGGTGAAATCATGTTTTTAACCTCTTTGCTGCGCAGGCAAGCATACAGGTGGCAGCATCCCCAGAGATGGATCTTCCAGCATGCCTTCTGCAACTAGTGTCTCGAGGATGTGATATCTGCCAGTGCTCCCTCCATCTCACTCCGCTGTGCTCCTTTTCTCCTGCACAATTAACCTTTCCACAGGAGAGGGCGCTTCTCACGATCTATTTCCACCAGGGGTGACCCATGGCCTCATCATGCAATCTTCAAGTGAAAGGAAAATGAACCATAAAAAAGAGAAATCTGTTACCCCAGATTAGACTATTATTAATAACAGATGTTAGTTGCTGTCATTATGAGCCATTGGTAAGAAAAAGTAGGACTCTAAATTCACTGTCTCATCAGTAATTCAGATCACTGAAAAAACTTTTAGGGTTTTAACCCTCCTATTCCTGTAAGAAATGCTCAGAGATAACAAATCAAAAACCAGCCTTGCAGACAGATGGAAAGTCTGCTGAGGAGAGATGATAAGTTATGTGGTAAGAAATTCACAAAACATCACATGAAAATCATCTACATGAGCAGCCTCAAAATAAGCCTTCTTGGTACACCATGAAATGATCCATCCTGTTCCACAGCCTCAGTCTGTGACAGGGCCCATGCATTTCAGCCCATGATCACAGAGAATCCCCTGCATGTTCAAAGGTCTGTCTTGAAATATTTTGATGAGGGAGGTGAAGAATCAAATTGAAGAGAGGTACTGTGGGAAAAGCGTGTTGTATGATACACAAAGTTCTGAAAAGCCTTGTAAACACTAAGTCGCAGATGTTCTGAATGAGTATGCAAATATTTGAGTGTTCAGAAAGTTACTTAGAAATGCCCCAGCTGTATCAGAGTTCCCCATCTGTAAAATGGGACACTTCTTCCCTTGAGCATTGTCTGTCTTCTCAGTTTAAAATACAAGCCTTCGCAGAAGATACTAGAAAGAGTGAGCAGGTGTGTCATGTGCATATTCAGAGCTTACTGCAATGGAGCAATGAATGGCATGGAGGCAAATAGTACTAAACCTCAAATTCTAATGCGTCTGCACTTTCAGGGGCAGATTCAAAGTACTTTAATTTTTTCCCCTTTACCCTGAGGCATCACAAAGAAAAAAAAAACAAAAGAAAAGAAAAAAAAGGCAAGTTTTCATTTTAACTTTGGGTCTCCTTTTGTTAACATGAGCACTAAGCCTCTGTGGACTTCACTGGGATTTTTCTTCTCTGGGATATTTCGGTGTTTGGAGGTGTTTTGTTGCTTACAAAAGGTAAAAGTAACAGCGATTCATACTTAGAAACGCTCAGGGCCAAGTGCACACAAGGTTCATAGGACCTCTCCAGGTACAGGAGAGGTTACAGTCAGTAACACTAATAGCATTTGTTGTTGCAACTTGGGTACACAGTAAGCCACCGGTAATAATCTCTAAAATCCTTAGTGCTTCGAGATGTAACCATGCAGACACTGCCTCTCAGGCTCCTCCCTTCCTGGCATTATTTACATGTGCTGGGAAGCACTTTCTTAGCACCAGGTTTCTGGAATGGTTTTCTGAAAGTCTGAGCCTGATATGCTTGAGGCAACAGCACTATTGCTTACTTATTTGATTAATTTCAGGGGGTAGGGGGCCTTTCTTAAATGTAGTCTAGAAGAGTAGGCTCACACTACCCACTACAGGTAGTTTTTATTATTGTATGTTTGACATTTATAGGTGACTTGACAAAATGCTGGGTAAAGGACATTTAATGAGGTAATAAAAAAAAAATCCTGTAATTTTCTGTTTAGCTGCATGTATGGTTCCTGCCTACCTCTTTCATTCAAATCTTTCCTAAAATAACGCTTAGGAAAACAGCCAGTCTATAGCTGTCAGTGAAATGGTGCACTTAACTGCACTGTTTGCAGTAATAGCTGTGTCTGGAAGATAACAAATGCACAACCCTCAAACTAAACTCAAGACTAGATGCGTCAATATGCAAAATAGAAGGAAAATGTACATTAAATAACAAGGGAACTCAGGAGTATGGCTGACTTCTTGCTGTCTTGATTATTACCGTGGGAATGGCCTGTCAACAAAAGGCAGGAGATTCCACACAGGCCAAGTACAAATCTTAAGTTTCTATCAGAAACAAGTAAAAAGAGGGCAAATGTGGAACTTCCTTTGTACACACCAGTATGAAGCAGATACTGACAGACTGTAATGTAATAATAGAAAGGGAAACTAAAGGTCAGCAGGTAACTTCAGTATCCACAAAAGCAGAATTCAAAGGCATGTGTGATTTTAGAACTCAGCAAGGGGCTTTCCCTAATAGGAGGCTGAGTGGACTCTGCATGCTTCATCCAAGGATGATTCACTCCCTCTTCTGACCAGAAACGATCCCCTCTAATGAGAGGGGAAAAGCTGGAAATTATATTAAATATTTGTCTTTTTGTTTCTTAACATTCAATTTCTGATACTAGAACAGTTTCTTAGTCAAATTCCAAGATTAAAAATAACACTCTGCAAGGAAAAAAAACTCTCTGGAGTTACTGAATACCATTACAAATAAATCTACATGAAGTTAAACCAGAGCTGTGAAACTAGCTGTGGAAAATGAAATATGAATCTGAATTTTTTTTGCTGGTCCATAGTTTCAGATCATAATGACTTCAAACATCCATAGTTTGGAGAAAAAATCTCTTTTATTTTAATGTAGAAATGTAGCTTGGACATATTCTTCCATGATGTAAAGCAATACTAATGTATCATCCTGATTTGTCCATGCTTCAGTATCATGTCTAATTGACTAGCATGAAGAAAAGCTTTCATGAAAGCAACAAATCAATGAAACATTCAACACATCAGTCAACTATGGGTTGTGAGTCTTCTGCCTCTATTCTGAATCATGCAGCAGAAGTTTCATTTCAGAAATTATCCTGAGAGATCAATTCCCTTTTGCTATACTTCCAGCTTTTGTTTTGGATAAATTTCTTTGTGCTTTCCAGTGTAATTCAATCTCGATCACATTTAATTCAGGGGATGATGTTTTCTCCACGAGTTTAATGTAGTCACAAGAGGGCACCAGACTCTACCATATTTCTCCTGCTGCCAATGGACTTCACAATGGAAGAAAAAAAAACAGTATCTCTTGTATCTCTTAAGTGCACAGCCTGTAATCATAAATTTGTAAGACATTGTGCTGCTAGGTAAATCAGTCCGTACGGATGATTTGTGTGTATTTATGCTCATGCTTACCATACAGACAGCTGCTGAGGCAGACACAAGGTTGGGTTATAATATCTATCCAACTGTCAAAGAAATATGCAACTTTTTTCAAAAGGCGGCTACAAACACAGAAAAACAAGAAGCAAAAAAACAGAAGTGAAAGCAAGCAAGAAGAATCATGGAAAGAAAAAGAGAGAGAGAATACCCTTGCATTACATAATAAAAAATAGAGGATGATGGAACTTGCAGGGATCTGTCCATGATTCCCTGGAGAGGATTCAAGTGCCAGGACTGCATAAACATACCACCGAAGGCATTCAGCCCCTGCAGTAACTAAACACCCAGCAAATTCTAAACAATTCTTTCAGGAGTCCCACTTTGCCTCCCTGTCTCAGCTAACCACTCTCCACATGGTCCTACAACACTGCTCACTGCAGCACAGGTGACTTTCTCCCAAGTCTATTGGCGTTTAGTGCTATTTGTTAGCCAGATTAAGTAAGGCAAATTAAACATTTATTATTCCATTAACATTAGACATGTTGAAATGATTGCTGGGAAACCACTGGCTACTGACAGAGCACCAGGAGACATGAGTTAACATTCATTTATTGCTATAAAAGTCAAAGCTGTCATTCCCATCATGGGACAGGATGAGAACGAGAACAAGATCAGCTCACAGCCTGTTATGTATGTTCATATTTATGTATGTTCATATTCATGCTTTTAATTGGGCTAACCCTTTAACCGGATCAGGCAGGCAGGCATTAGCAATCATCCTCTTAGGAAAAAATAGGGTAAAAAAATCACATTTTTAATATTCTTTTTTGCATCTTGTTTACCCAATTAAGCTCACTTTTTTATACCCTCATTAAACTATAATTGTGATGTTCCTACTATAATTTATGACTTCTTTTCTTAAGGAATGTGTAATTCAGATAAGCCACCATGAAATGAAAGACAGCAATAATTTTTGGACGTTTTCCAGTTTAACCTATCAATTCACCAGACTCTAAAACATAATTTGGAAACAATCCAAACACTCCAACAAGCCATCACAGCCTTCACTTATTCTTCCATGGAGCACAGAGGGTCATTTTAACTTGCAGATAAAGAGTTAACTTCTATAACCAGCATATTTCTCTTACTAATGCTCAATTTTATTCAATAGAAAATCACATTTCTGTTTTGGAAAGTGTAGAACAACTAACGCTGTCAACAGCTGTTACTAAAGTCACAACCACCAGGATTAAACTACTGCATACTCAGTGTTTTTATTTTTCTACTTTTTCCTTCTATTTTTCATGGTCCAAATGATTAAGGCAAACCTAAAAATAAGTAACTGACCTACACACTCCTAAAAGTTTTGTTAGCTTTAACTGTGCTTTTGAATTATAACTCTCCAGTTTGCCACTACAGCAGAGATTTGTTTCCCACTGCTATTGTAATTTTCAGCGACACAGCTTCTAGAAAAAGCACAGTGCCTTCCAAAAGGCTGGTTTTAAGAGTCAAACACTGCAATATGAAAAGATGGAGAACAGCAAAGGTGTAAGCCTCAAATCTGGCCTAAAAAATCTGAAAGCCACACTCTAATGTACGTTCAAGGATATACGAAACAGGAATTATTCATTAACCTCTTCAGCTTGCAACTGCTTCAGGCTATTTTGTTCTTCCAGTATCTGCAGTTTTCAAAGAAAGGCAGAGGTGGTGGGGGGAAAAGGATCTTCACATGCACAGCACAAACATAGTTATCAGAAACAGACTATGCTGAGATGAAAATATGGTACTTAGCTTGCTGCAAAGAAAGGAATACCTTGTGTAGTGACAGGGTGCACATGTTTTTTGAGCTTGTGGGTGCTATTTAACAGTAGATGCTTAGTTGCTATAGCAACTGTCATACCCTATGGTATTTATGCTTAGATATGGAACATGTATTTTAAGCAGCATCAGACAACATGGCATTCAAGTGTCCAAAATGTATGTTTAAAAGAAAATCCTTGTTATGAAGGAAGTAGGTGTGTTCCTCTAGTTATTAGAAAACCATTATAATAATGCAACACTTTGCAACAACAAAACAATCCTGCCCCTTATAAACATAAACAGAACTACCATGATGATCCAGAAGAGGGCTTAGAAGCCTTAAAATAAACCCCCAAACAACATTCAGCGCTTTAAAATCCCTTTGCTGACCGCTACTGCATAATCTGAAGACTTCTCCTGTCTAGTACAGTGCATGGTGCTTTGCCACTGGAGATTTCTATTGTAGTTTAGCATCTCACTAGGTCCACTTGGAAAGTCTTCCTCTCATCTGGGCTTTGTTACTACCACAGATGTTCACTACCAACACAAATGCACGTACTGGCTGTTGGCCCCTGCCTGACAGTGCCCATACACATTATGTGGTTTCATGGCTGGAATTTCTCAAGGATGCTTTGTGCCCCTTTGGTTTGTGTATCAGCCACCATGCAGAACACTTACTCCAATTTATCTGGCAACCGTAAATCTTGCTGAAAACGCTCCTTCTATTTTTATTTTGCACATCTCAGTGGTTGAGGAGCATAAATAAATACTGTAATATGAGGGCACTCTTTCTTTCCAGTTCTTGCCACCATAAGAGGAAATATGGTCAGCAGCTTCTACAGCTGCCTGTGAAGGGTCCTTAACTCCAACACATCCACTTTAGCCAGGCAGGCTAAAATTTTTCAGACTAGTACAAGTCTAATAGCTTTCCTGTGTTGTTTTTCCACTCTATTTCCTCTAGTCAAAACGTATTAATACTTCTTAGCAATTTATTATCGGTTCCATAAAGTTAGTAGCTGACTTAGATAAACACAGTGTTGGTGGTTTTAGCTCACAGAGTTTCTTGATCTGTACAAGTTCTTAAAGAAAACTTGTTTCTTAGCTCATGTCACTTTCAATCCCTTTGGCCTCCTACCAGGTAATTCAGATAACCACAGCCATAAAACCTAGGGCCTGAGGCTGGTGGCCTGAGGCAGACAGATTTCTGCCTAAGAACAGATTTTCTTTGCCACTGCTGTACTGACAGCCACATACCCTCCCTCCATCACCTCTTTACTGCTGCTCTTAGGTTTTTCACTAGCACAAACACCCAGCTCAGCCAACACAGCCAGCCAACTGCTGCCATATTCAGACATGTATTATCTGGTGTGTGGATTAGTTGGAGTAATGACTGCTCTGACTATGCTATTCTCATTTTGCAAGCCATTAACATCTGATGCCAGCATCATTCTCATCCAACATCAAGCTACAGTTAGCCCACAAATGCTCACTCTTAGTATGAATGCTTCGGTTTGTTTTACAGGCACCAGACGCCTGCTGTTCTTTGTCCAACCCCCTCCTACAGGTAGAGCAACAGCCTTTCCAGGCTCAGAACAGTGAAGGAGAAGCTTATCCTCACTGAATGCTGAGCAGAACTTCCAGCTATCTTTGGTGGTCCACACATTAACAAGCTGTAATATAAACTCACTTAAACCCAATGCACCATGACTGCAGACCTCACACAATTAAGTTGTATCCTGTACCTGCCTTACAGGGCCCACCTGAGCTGCTACAACAGGCTTACTTCTTAGGGAACAGCCACATTTAATTACCCTCCTTAGCCTTTCTTCCATCTGCTCCTGGATTTTTTAGGCTAGCTCTGCTTGCAGGAATGTGCTTGTCTGCAGAAGCACTCAGGCCTGTTTCATAATGCTGCCTATCTCACAAGTAATCAGAATTTGCCAGGTTGGGCTCAAAGGAAATGGTACATTATGAGTGGGCCTCCTGCCCTACTCTGGAGCCAAATTAAAAAGACAAACGTATCTTAAGTGCTTTAATCAAACTGTAATTATGAGAGAAACAATATAGACTCAGACCAAGTCCACATTGTCTTTAGCAGGCAGAGGCAAGCAAGCTCTGTTCCTGCTCTGAACCAGCGGGATCAGAGCCAAAACTTCCAAATCTCATGCAGTCACGCCGGTACAGCACAGAGCTTGAGCTAACACACCTTGTCTTTCAGTAAGACTCGCTACCCAGAGTACAGCACTGCACTGATGACAGCTCATGGCTTCCAGTTCAGGGCTGAGTCATGTCTGGTTATTTCTGTCTTTCAAAAGAATAGTTCCAGCCCTGCTCCTGGCCATCGAGTTTGTATTCATTTCTGTGGATTTATAAACACTGTCCAACTCTGAACCAGCCTTCCCGGCACTGCCGATGTGCGAAAGTCTGGCCAGCTCAGCGGGGGCTGAGCAGCTCTGAGAAAGGAGCAGCAAAGCTCCAAAGGCATCAAGCACAGCCCATCACAGGCTTGCGCCAGAAGGGAAGGAAGGGGGCTGGGAGCACTGGCTGCTTTCCAATGAGCATGGCACGCAGGTCACACCACCCAGTACCAGCCACTGCTGGATGAAGAGGCAGTCAGGGACTCCCGGCGAGGAGGCTCTGCCGGCACAGGCGGGCTGTGGGATGGGGAGAGCCCGAGCTGGCTGCCACCACAGCTTGCACGGAGCCCGTGTGCACATGCAGCTCTCACAGATTGAAGCTGGATCTCTCCCTCATCCACCCCGAGCACAAGCTAACCACGGCCTGCCAAGAGAAAGGGCTCGGGGTAGCTGTTCCACTTCAATCAGTCCTCTAGCTATGCAGCAGCGGCTCCAGCTCAAATAAGCCCCACCGTGTGCTAAGGATGGAGCTGCACCTAGGACCCTCTCAGAGAGGTCAAGGCAATGTCTGCTCCTGTTAAACTAGCCCTGTACCTCCTGTTTTCAAAGACATCCCATTCACCCCTCTTTGACAATCACACCTTTATAAAGGCTGCCAGTCCTTTTGAATCCCCTTGGGATTGCCACTTGCTCTGGAGGTTTTGCTAGGTGCCCACTAGTGACCCATCTTCCTATGAGAGATCTGCTGAGCTGATTTACATAATTTTCTTCCCCATCACCTGTATTACTCATTTCATCAGCAAGCAGGTTGCTCTGCACTGTCTTACTAGGTACAGTGCTTCTCAGTTGTCTAGAAGCTTTGAATACACATTCAGAATCACTTTTCGATTTAAAAGTCTCCTGCCATTTCTGACCAGTAATTTCCCTTCTTGTGTGTGTGTGTGTGTGTGTGTATGCAGCTATTGTCTTCATTTCAGTTTCCCCTATAAAGTTGCTTGGCAGACGTTTCTTTTCAGTTCTGCTCCATGCTTTGTCTCTAGAACTTCAACACAGGCATTGGTTCTGCTTTTGCTTGCAGTGAGTTTCATGCACTGAGGTAGCTTTGTCAAAATATAAATATGTTTAGGAAATTACCAGGTTTTCACCTGTTTTAACTCTGGTGTTAGAACCGTTTACCAAAACCAGTAGGAGGATGAAAAATTTTAGTGCATAGCTAAAATTTGATCTTTGTCACATTGTGTTTACAATTAGATTAAATTATTTATAACACTTTTAGTCTTACCAGGGATTGTTTGCTTTCTAGGGCTGCATTGTTTTGCATAGGTCTGCCCAGATTCTTCCATTTTGACTTTGCAAGTTTTGTTTGTCACATGTGATATGTGGGAGTTTTTTCCTCCTGAGAATAATCAAATCATACCTCGACAAGACAGTTCTGCAGCTTTTCAAAGAAGACAGAGTGCTGAGAACCTTTCACAATTTTTCTTTCAGTGGTTTAATCAGAAACATAGATGATACAGGTTTTAAGCAATCAGAGATCCTCTTGTTTCACTGGAGAATTTATTGGAAGAAAAAAACCCCAACAACCCACAACACAAAAATTACAAGACCCCCTCACTGTGTGTGTTTATATATATATACACATATATATATAAAGGTAAAGAAAGGGTAATTATATACCTTACTATATAGATGATGCTATCACTAGAAAGAGCAATACCAATGAATTATTCTAGCTGAGCACCTCCAGTGAACACCCCCCACACTACCTCAAAAGGGAAGTCCAGAAAGGCTAAAGGTCCTTGCAGGATTTGTTGTGGGATTACCTCTTTGTATTATCTCTCTGTATCTTGCAACGAAACTAGAAGCCAATATCAAGCTGAATAGAGCATGGGAACATCTCTTTGTGGTATTGTTCTTTCAAAGTTTTGACTCATATTTTTACACCATGATGCCATAAGCCCACTGCAAGAAACTGTGAGGGGAACTTACCCAAGGGGAAAACACTGCACTTCATAACCTGTATTGTCCCAAAAGCTGATCTCGCTTTGCTATGGAAGGGTTAATCTCCTCCTGCTATCCCGTATCACGCTACTGCTGTTTACAGCCTTTCCTACTGAACCTCACCCCCAGGACCAGTTGATGACAGACAGAGAGAGACACAGACACACACACAGACACAGAGACACAGATACAGACACACAGACACAGACACAGACACACAGACACACAGACACAGACACACACACACACACACACACACACACACACACACATACATACATACATACATACATACATACATACATACACACACACACACACACACACGCTGCCTACCCTCCTTTTTCCCCATTTTCTTTCTCTCCCCGCCCACCGCGGGCAGCAGCCCCCACCCCACCCCCTCTGGCCTGAGGCTGCTGCAGCAGCTGCCGTGTTCCTGCGACTATCTCCCGGTCCCCTTCCTTTCTGGCTACTTCGGAGACAGTGGCACGTAGCTGCAAGACCGCGAATGTGACGGAGAAACGCTCGCTCAGACTAAGTACTTGCAGATGTGCAGCAGCCGCGAGCTGGAGGTCACAGCAGCGTCCAAAGCATTTGAGGGGTGGAGGGGATGTTCTGTTTTTTTTTTTTCGGTTTGGTTTTGATTTGGTTTGTTATGTTTGATTGTTTTTTTTTTCGTTCAGCAGAGCGGTTGAAAGAACAGCTTCCTGAAGGGTGCGAAGCCTTAGCCTTTCCCTTTGCCCCAAGGAAGCGGCTTCCCCGTGCTCTAGCCCCGAGACCTGAGGCTGGGAGGCCAGGCCCAAACAGGAAATGCCACAAGCCTTGCTAATGGAGTCATGAGGCTTGGCACCCCCCGCGGGGCGGGAGCTCCAGGGGCGGAGGCGGCCGCGGTTGGAGCTGGGGGCTCCCGCCCTGGAAGGAAGCGGCGCTCGACAGCAGAAGGCAGCCGGGCCCAGCGGGGAAGACGCCCCCCCCCCCGCCTTCCCGTCACGCCTGCAGCTCCCTGGGCGCCCCGTGGGCTGCAGCAGGGCCAGGCCTGAACCTGTTCCCGCCGAAGCCCGTGGCCTGGAGCCCAGACACGCCGCGGGCCCTTGGGCGCCGTTTGAAATCGGGGCGGTTCTGCCTCACTCCCCGCCTCCGCCTGCCGCCAGCCTCTCACGGCCGAGGGGAAGAGCTCGGGCGCCATGGCAACCCGCAACCTCCCGTAGGCGGGGCCTGGGGGCGGGAAAGCCCGGGAGCCATGGCAACCGCTTCGCCAATCGCAGTGCCGAACGGCGGCTGCGTGTTTGGCGACAGCCAATAGGAACCGCCGTTTCCTTGCAGGCGTGGCTTCCGGGGAAGGCCCGCCCCCCAGCGGGTGGACGGGGGAGGAAACGAGTTCCTTTGTGGGCTTCGACAATAAAATGGCGGGCGGGGGAAGGCGGGGCGGATCTCCACGGTTGGCCCCGCCTTTCCCCCCCGAAGCGCGGAGCGGCGGGAGAGGGGGTTTCTGCGCTGGTAGGCGACGGCGACAGCAGTGGCGAGGAGGTGAGTAGAATAGACTGGGCTGGGTAGGGTGCGGCGCGGTGCGGTGCCCTCGGCCTGCCCGCCTTTCCCAGGGCTCGGTGTGGGGCCGGCGCGGATGGGGAGCCGGTGCCGACGGAACCCGCGGAGGAGGGAGTCGATTCAAAATGGCGGCGGGCCGTTTGCCGGGAGCGCGGGACGATGAGTAACCGCCGCCTGTGGCCGTTCGCGGCTGGGGCTGGTGGGCCAAGGGAGCCTGTCTCCTCTCGGGCGCTGGGCACTCCTCTTCTCTACTCGGACTCTTCCTAAGCCGCTGCATCCGCACAGCCCGCGCTTCCACGTTCGGGCGCCCGTCCGGCGCCGCTGCCCGCCCACCGCTGGTGTGCTGTGACTGCGGACTTCCCTCAGCATCCTGGGCGACCGCATCGCATCTTGATCCCGCCACGGCCTCCGCTGCGTCCCCTCCCCAGCCTATGTGCGCTGGGGCTCGCTCCCCGTCTCGGCTGCGTCCGCCGGTCACGCCTCTCCCCTCCGGCTCTGGCGGGCAGCCCTCCCCTCCCCCCCCACCGCTCAGCCGCCACGGCCTCGGGCGCCTGCATTTCCACGAGGTTTCTGCCCGGCGCACCGTCTGCCGTTGCCCCAGCTTCCTAGCCTGCCCTTCCTCTGGAGCTAGTGCTCCTTCCCGAAGCCCTTGGGTCCTGCATAGGTACCTGCTAGCCCCCTGTACTGGGGTTGGAGAGAGACACCCAACCCCCGTGCCTTATAGGAGCTATAGGTGCTTTTGTCCAGGCCCGAATAGGGATGTTTCTGGCCCTATCAGCCCTCTGCTGTGTCTGTAGCCTAACTTAGAACTGAAGATCACTGTACATACACATGCCTAAAGAGGAGTACCTGGCCTTCCATCTTCTTTTCGCTATTCCATGTAGCTTTGACTTTTTCCTAAAATTGTTATAAAGGCTCAGTTTTGGACTAGGATTAGAGTGGTAGACAGGAGATAGAACACCTTGTGTTCCCTTGTTAACTACCATCATGGTATTTATGGCTGTACAAAAAGAAACAGCACTCTGCTTAAGTGAGCCTCCAGCACTAGCCAAGGTAGCTCTTGTCTGCTTTCTCATAAAGATGAACAGTGTAAAATTTCCTGTTACCCCCACTATTGGAAAGTTACTTTTTCCATTCAACACTCAAGTATGTCTTTGGCAGCATATTACCACACGACTCTGAATTGAGTGCAAATCTGGAATGTTTAAGTTGATGCTTTAGTAAGAATTGGATCAAATTTCAAGCAGCTTCTTTGTAAAGCAGACTGGGAAATTATCAATTCCAAAAGCAGTGCTTTTAGTGAATTCCATAATACTACACTCCCAAAACTCATTTTTCCTGCCTTATTATGCTTTGGATAGCTGTTGTCTCCTTGACAGCTTTTTTTTTTTTGTACAGATATTTCAAACAGTGGTTAAGTTTAACACACTTGATTTGGGCTCTTGACACTCTGATAATAGTGGAAGAAGGGAGATGATATAGCTAGTCTAGACAGAGTGTCCAAGTGCCTCTTGGACAGAGACAGATGCTGCTTGAAATTAGCAGTTGATTTTGAATACTGTGACTCTAAAGCAGCAGCGGTCTTGCTGGCATGTACCAAGAAGCTTTACACAATAGCTAATGCCTTTTTGAGTATGTTAATATATAAATCAATAGAGAAATGTACTTAAATTTTAATTAATTAGGCTTTAAATTTAGCATTCTCTTGAGATGAGTGCTTGTTGGTGATAGTGCAGCAATGTCCGGGGGAGGTCATTTATTTGCAAGGTTTTAATTATAATGGCTATGAAGTTAATATTATTTTTTTTTTAACTGTGAACGTAGGTTCTGAGGTACACTGGTATGCCAGTTAATAGAATCTGAGGAGATAATTGCTGTGATGGGAATATTCTTTATGCTAACAGAAGTCCACATGGCTCATTTATTGCTCTAGGGAAGAACCTCGAATCACATGCAGCAGGCCTTACATGTTATTTAATTCCATGGGAAAACCATTTCCTCCTTTAGTGTGTTAATAGACTACACACTGATCTGGACTGCCAACATCCACTATGTCTTCAAGTTTGTGGATGTGATAATGGCTCTTTTACCAATAACTCCTGTGTTCCATCAACAGTCCCCACCTGTCTCAGTCTGGTATTCTGGGAGGTGAACAGCTAAAGTCTCTTCCTCTAAAATCATCAGATGTACAAAATAGCATCAGAAGATATTTTTAAGTTATTTTTCTCATGACTGCATCATCTTTATCTGTACTTGTGGGAGGGAGAGGAGGTTGTTGGGTTGAGCTTTTTTTAAGCAAAGCTTATTCCCATGTCACCTACCCTAAAGTAGAAAATGGGGATTCAGTTACAATGTAGAGGCTCTCAAAGAGATTGCACTTCAGGTATAGGATGTTCTGAAAGCATAACCAGAACTCTTATAACATCATCAAGGTGAAATACTTTATTGCTTTGATATCTTGGTGTCTCACTAGAGAGTGGTGGTTCAGATGCTTCATGACTCTGTCTTGAATATTGCTGTGAGTTTCTTTGCAAATGAGGATGAGACTATGGGTTGGTTAAAATACAGTTTCCATGACATAACAGCATTTCAGTCTGAATATTTTGGGATTAAATACAAATATTTTGGCTAGTTTGTTTTTTTTATTTTATGAGGGGTTTTTCATTTGTTTGTTTTGTGGCGGGTGGTGTTGTTGTGGTATTTTAACAAGTGTGCAGCTTCTTGAAAAAAACACGTTTTCTGTGCCTGCCCACCTCCCTCCCCCTGGCCCGTCCTTTGTCAACCTTTTACTCCCCTCAGATCTGAGAGCACTCACTCTTCAAAAACAATTTACTACTAGCCACAATAGAAAAAGAAGTGCAAGGCCCTACACCTGGGTCGGGGCAATCCCAGGCACAGCTACAGTTGGGCAGAGAAAAGACTCAGCAACCCTGCAGAGAAGGACTTAGGGGTATTGGTGGATGAGAAACTTAACATGAGTCAGCAGTGTATGCTCGCAGCCCAGAAAACCAGCCATATCCTGGGCTGCATCAAAAGGAGCGTGACCAGCAGGTCGAAGGAGGTGATCCTGCCCCTCTACTCTGCTCTTGTGAGACCTCACCTGGAGTATTGTGTACAGTTCTGGTGTCCTCAACAGAAGAAGGACATGGAACTGTTGGAACAAGTCCAGAGAAGGGCCACGAGGGTGATCAGGGGACTGGAGCAGCTCCCATATGAAGACAGGCTGAGAAAGTTGGGGCTGTTCAGCCTGGAGAAGAGAAGGCTGCGTGGAGTCCTCGTAGCAGCCTTCCAGTATCTGAAGAGGGCCTATAAGGATGCTGGGGAGGGACTATTCATTAGGACTGTTGTGACAGGATAAGGGGTAACGGGTTCAAACTTAAACAGGGCAGATTTAGATTGGATATAAGGAAGAAGCTAAGGGTGGTGAGGCACTGAAATGGGTTGCCCAGGGAAGTTGTGAATGCTCCAACCCTGGCAGTGTTCAAGGCCAGGGTGGACAGAGCCTTGGGTGAGATGGTTAAGTGTGAGGTGTCCCTGCCCATGGTAGGGGGGTTGGAACTGTATAATCTTAAGGTCCT